TATCATCACTACAAGTCTCGAGAGCACACACCATTTGGGTATTCAAATTGGAGCACAATTCAAAGATTAAAGACGTTGTAGTCCCAAATTGTTGTAATTGGTGGTGAATTGATGATTGTTGGAGTTGAATTGCTGATGTTGATGGCGAAGTGGCGGTGAATTGGTGGCTGAAGTAGGGGGCTTGCGGTTTGTCGTGTGTGGGCTGCCATTGCGTGGAAAAGGTGAAGGAGTTGCGTGGTGTTTATTGTTGTCGAGCTGCTGCAAAGTGGTTTCGTGGTGGTTGTGGTTGATGCGTGTTTGTGGGTTGGTGCTGGTTGCGGCGGAGCTGACGGTGTATAGTGGTGATTGGATTGTGGTGTAATGCGGCTTGGTGTTTAGTGTGCAGGTATGGAGTTTCAGCCTTTCAGGGGGTAAGGGGCAGCGTTGCCGGTGCAGAGGAAAGGTGTCTGGGCGCCGGCGGGGGTGAGGGTTCCGGGAGGGGGCCGTGGCTGGTGGTAAAGAGGGTGGTCGTGGGGTGGGGCTGGGTTTTTTTTTAAGTGTTTCTTTTTAAAAAAAATATTAAGATATTTTTAATTAAATTTTGTAAGTTTTTTTCCTCAACCAATTACATGGTGACACGTGTCACCTTAACCTGTTATAATAGTTTTGGTGACCGGTTGGGATTGAGCGAATGACCCCTAAAGTTCGGACTATTTAAAAATAATCCAAAGTTGGGATTATTTTGAGCGAACGAGTGAAAGTTGGGATTATCTTTATCAATTTTTCCTTTAATTTATATGAGAAATACATTTTTGGGTGATTGGTTGGTAATCTAAAATTGAAAAAAAAATGAAATGGAGGAAATAAATTAGGAAAAATTGACATGAATATTATGACCTTTGCTCAGTCCGCCATAAATATAACCACCTTTTGATAATCCCCCAATAAAACGACCTCTGACATTGCTCTTCCAAAAATAGGACAAAACCGGTTGGTAACCAGTTTAATAGGTTAATATAACATGTGTCACTTTGTAATTGGTAAATTTTTTTTATTTTTTTTTTACAATTTTCTTATGAATAAATTGATTTTAACTCTTTTTTTTTTTTTTTTTATAAATGCTACGTGTCAAGAGCTAATTAGCCATAATAAAATAAAATAAAATAAAACAAAAAAATTCAGAAACTCAGCCCCATTGCCCACCGAAACCCCAGCCACCACAATCCCACAACCCTCCTCCCGCCGTCCAGCTGCCCCTACTCCCGAAAAACCCCAGCCGTCCTTTCCCCTTGAACCACCACCCTCAAATTTCCCCTGAAACTCCTAAAACCCATCATGAACACCCTCAATTAGCGGTGGGTTTCAATGGTTTCGAATTTTGTAGGAAGCGCAAGTGGGTTTTCTGGGTTTTGTTTCGACGGAAGTGGGTGTATAGGGTTTTCCTAGGTTTCGGCGGAGGTGGATGGATTTCAACGGAACAAGTTGAAAATTTCTTGGGTTTCGTGGGTTGGATAATTTTGGTTACGAGTTTCGCCAAGGGAGGGTGGGTGGTAATGTGGGCAGGTGGAGGTTGACGGTGAGGGAATAGGGAAGAAAGGGTGAGGGAATGGGCTGCTATTGGTGACCTGGTGGGTTTAGGGGCATCGCTGATGGCGCAACCACTCCCAAAAACTCCTCCCCACTGTCGAAAAATCGGTGGTTTCGTGGAAGGAATCCATCGGTGGTTTCGTGGAGGGGTTTAATATATAGGTGGTTTCGTGGGGAATGGTGGATCGATGTTTCGGGGAAGGAGGAAGACGGTGACGCGGCGGAGGATGTTTCACGTGGCTCGCCGGCGAGACAGGGGTGGTAGGCTGTAGGGAATATTTCAAGCATTACCCCAAGCTTGAACCCCACTGTGATCATACACTAAAGCATGGTGGCGTCCAAAGGGAAAGAAGATAGAGCAAAAGAGTCGCCAACAAGTTTTAGGAGCTTGTAAACCGTTCACAGGGTGAAGGTTACACCCCTTAACGATCCAGGAGATCGTCAACTCCAATAGGTCTGGAACCATGACTGGTAGTTCGGGGATGAAGGTACAAATCCAACCTAAAAGAGATTGAACCTACCCTAATACTAACCCTCTACTTTATTCTGCTCGTATTCATGTACGCTTTCTGACTAACATGCAACCAATAGGATTACCCTAAACCTGTTTAATCTATGTTGGTTGAATATTAATGCACAAATAAAACTATTATTGGCGATCACTTGAATTATAATCATATTAACCCTAAACAAGATTATTAATTATCTTATTAAGCGTGATTACAAGTACAAATTCCCTTTAAACATGCATAAAAGGCGTAAAAGGCGTGACCAAGCAATAAATAATAAAAATCAAGCAACATAATAATAACAATAAAAATTATAAAAATCATCATAATTATAATAATTAATCATAATAACAATCATAAGCATAATCATGTTAAAGCATAATAATAGCAAGATCTTAGGCATGATACTAACAAGATTAATAACAAACCCTAGCATGTCACTAAACAATAAAGATTAAAGCTTTAACCCTAACATGATATTGACAATCATAAATATTAGGAAGAAAATAAAAGGCATCATACTTTTAATCATACTTGATATTAAAGTTACCCTAGATATGATACTAGGAAGATCAAAACACCCTAACATAACAATAAGAATCATAATAACAACCTAAGCATGATTTCTACATAATAATAACAATGCAAACAAATAAAGTACTTACTTGGATGTCTCGTACCTCTTTCTAATAACAAAATACACGCGTTAGTAACTTCAAGGAAAATAATAAAACAACAATTAAATTAAATAACTGAAAGAGAGATTTGGGACCAAACCCTCAGAAATATTAAACCTTTCACGTCTAGGGCGAAGACAACTTTGAACAATGCTAGGTGTTTTTTGGTCTTGTGAATGCGGAATTTTGTATAAAGGTTGGTTTAGAAAAGAGAGAGAAAGAGAACTTTAGCTTTGAGAGAGAAGAAAATTAGAGAATTCTTGAGAATTGATGATTGTATATGATTGTAGATGATTGAAAACGGAGTTTTAGAAGGCTATTTATAGAGAAAATCAGCAAAAAAGATAAAAAAAAACAAACCAGAGTTTCGATGTGAAAAAAAGAAGTTAGCGCCGCCAGACGCTAATTAGATTTTTTACGCGTTTTCTAAAATCAGATAAAATTTGGCCGTACAGAGGGCAAAATCGTATTTTCCTTAAAAACACTATTTTATTATGATTAAAATTCTAAAAAGTCAACAAAAGTCAATTTATCAATGCTAATTGCATTAGGAATGAAAAGAACCTTCTATAAGAATCTAGAAGACTAAAACCATTCCTAATTGCATTAAGAATGACAAATCCATATTAGGCCCTCCTCTAGATCATTGGGCCGCATATAAGGCTCAAATCGGGTCCAGTTTAGTAATTTGGCCATAACTTCCTCATTATTCATCGGAATTGAGCTTATAATGTATCGTTGGAAAGCTCTTTTCAAACCCCATCCAACTACACCATTATTGGACCCATATCATGGACCAACCAAACTAGATTGACCGTTTTCTTAAAATAGGTTTTCAAAAATAGAGAGAAGAGAAAAGAAATTAAAACTATCCACAACACTAACTTTCCACACTTTCACTTCATTCGATTATGATTCGACGTGAAAGGTACTCATCGCCGGGTTTGGTTTTGGGGAGACACAAATGGGTGTCTACATAGGCTGTGCAGTTGGGTGGTGGTTAGGGAGGTCCGGTGGGGGAAGGCGAGGCTAACCGGTGGTTTGGGGATTTTTTGGTTTTTTTTCTTTTAAAAAAAAATAATTTTTTTTGAACCAATCAGGGCTTGACACATGTCAAGTGACTTGATATAATAGGTCATTGACTTTTGTTGACCGTTAGGGATCGAAGAAAAAGAGGAACCCCCAAAGTTCGGATTATTCCAAAATAATTCAAAGTTGGGATTATTCTAGCAAAATTGATGAAAGTTAGGATTATTATTTCTAATTTTTCCAAAAATCTATATAAAATTAAATTATTTAGCATCCTACTCGGTTGCGAGACCGGCATTATATACTAGTGATATATCTACTCCATATTTATTAGTTATGTTATTACGGTGAAACCACAAATAGCATGAAAGTAAGTGAAAAAGAACTTCTCTTTCTATATACTCCTATTCAATATTCATACTCCCAATCTACTATCTAAAAATATTTTTTTAAAAAAAAAGGAAAAAGAAAAGCTAAATTTCTCGTCGGAGTACGCGCACCAAGAAAATCAAACACACTTTCTCTTCCACTTTCCTCCCACTCTCTCTCCTCTTAAACCTCAACACCAGCTGCCATGGCTGCCATGGCGGACCCTTCGCCATCTCCGGCGACTCAAGAATCCTCCAATCCTCCCCCTTCTCAATCCCCAATCTCAAACCCTAACCCTAACCCTAACCCTAGCCCTAATTCTAACCTTAGCCCTAATCCTAATCCAAATCCAAATCCGATTCCTAGCGTTAGCAGCTCCGAATCACAACCCAATTCAACCCAATCACCCGCTTCTACGCCTCCGCCACCCGCCCCGCCCGCTATTAGCCCTACTCCGACCTCTGCACCGCCGTTTCATCCGCCGCCGATCAACCCATACGCTGCGCCGCCGTCGTTTCGGCCTGCTGGTGCTCCTCCCCCGATGCACGTCCCTCAGTTTACTCCAATCCCTCAAAACCCTAATATGCAGGGATTTCAACAGCAGCCAAATCATGGGGTTCCACCACCTGGGGTGAGTTCTGCTCCGCTGCAGCAACAACCATTGATGCCTGGGAAGCAGCAAACAGTGATTCCTGGGCAACAGCAGCAGCCAATGATGCCTGGGCAACAGCAGCAACCAATGATGCCTGGGCAGCAGCCGATGCGGCCGCCGTATATGCCGATGCCTAATGGTTATATGCATCCTCCTCCTCATGGATCTCTTCCCCCCGGTGGGTTTTCCTTTCTCTTTATCCAAGATTTGAATTATTTACAAGCTATGATTTATATATTGTTGACGTTTTGATTGGAATTGCAATTGTGGTAAGATAGAATGTAGCACTTGGGATGAAATTAATTTTGGAATTAGGATTTATGGTGTGTGTTTTCTAATGATGCTTTATCCTGTTATTGATGTGTTTTTGAATTGATGTGAAGTATAGAACTTTAGCGGCAAAGACCATTACTTGGTAATTGTAAGTATCTTTTAGGTTTATCTCAATTGCTTAGTCTATCTGATGGAGACGGTATGCATCAAGATGACAATTTTGCATCTTGCTTGAGGATCTTGAGGTTCGAGTAACAAATATCAAGAAATTAGTTTCGCCTGAAGAAAAAATATTAAGGAATTGGTTTTGCTCGAGGAAAAAAAATTAAGGAATTAGTTTCATCCATCAAGGAATTATTGAAGAATTAGTTTTGCTCGAGGAGGAAGTATCAAGGAATTAGTTTGAATCGAGGAGGAAATATCAAGGAGTTAGTTTCAATTGAGGAGTAACTATCAAGGAGTTAGTTTCAATTGAGGAGTAACTATCGAGATAATAGTTATAGAAAACTTCTTTGCCACCCTTCGTCCATTCCTACCTTAGGTGGGTAACTGGGAATCTCATTGGGTTATTGTTGGAGCAATGTGAGCTTTCTTTCTTCCTTTTACTTCTCACTTCCCAACCACCACAAGCCTATATTACACTATCACCTTAGCCATTTGAGGATCATCACAAACATAGACCACCACAAATCCACAACCATAGGTACGACCAGTCCACCACTATTAGAACATGGGATTGTGCTATATTATTATTGTTGGGAGAATGACTTTCAGTTCCTCATTACTGTTGTCTTGTAGTTTTTGAAGCCACACTAATATAAGAGTGGCGTTTTCATGCAGTTTGTTTGTGCTTCTTAAAGATCAATATGTTTGTGAGGGGGTGTTTGCAGGTGTAATAATGTTGTTCTGTACCATAGGTTTGCCGCTGATTGTATAATGTTATTTGACTGATATTAATAAGCCTGAAGCTATTGAGATGATATTAATTTAAAATTTATGGGGTACTAGAAAATCTGACTATTTTATATCTTTAAGGTAGCTGAGATGAGTTTCAATTTGAATAGCAAAGCATAGATTTTCTAACAGTAGAAGAGGTTATTAATGCTGGGAAGAGTTTGGTTGGGAAAAGATTGGAGAAAATTCTGAAAAATAAATATTGACTAGTTGACGGGGTAACGATGATGGGATGTTTTCTCCTACAGTGTCTTGGTTGAATACGGTGAGAAAGCTCAGAAGGCTTCCTATTGCAGTTGTTTAGAGACTCCTTCTGCAACTTCCTACTTTGGTATGCACATATCCGTAACTTACTCAGTTTTGTCAATTTATATTTCAAAGTTGGAAAATATTTTAAAGACAATTATGTATTTAGTTAAGCCTTAAATCTGCAAAATCCAGCAGTACTCCATTGCTATATAATGGCTGGTGCTGTATGTCGATTGAGTAGGGTGTTTTGGTAGTTTAAGGATTCTTTCCTTCCTGGGTTCTTGAGTCTCTGGAGCAGATCATGAGGCCTGCTGAGTTCTTGGTTCCCTTGTTTGGCAAGGTATCATTATCTTTAAACATTGTTTATTTTTCCTTTCCCTTCCTATCTGTTCTTTTCATTTATATTTCATTATGCATATTGGGCAATTAACAGTTGACATAAAAAAGGTTGACGGGCTAAATTATGGCTTTATGCCATCAATTTTTTGAGTATAGTTGGGATGGTGATATTGTTGTTTTACTCATTAGCGATACATGTTAGTTGGTGCGTTGGCTATTTGACAAGGCTACTATTGTTGGAACTGGATATTGCAAGGTAAGCATGCTTGGTGACTTGTTGATTATGAACGTTGTATTGTTTTGTTTATCTTCACCAGGTCTATTCAGCTGCTCATAGTTGCCCTGCTATGCTGCCATATCTCTTATTTGTGATGTGTGGTAACACTTTTAAAGTTTGTGAAAGTTTTTTTTGCCCTTTTTTTTAATGTAGTGATTTTTTTTTTTTTTTTTTTTTTTTTTTTTTTTTTTTGGTGTTATGATTTTATGTTAATTATGAACCTACGCTAACGTGTTTGCATAGATGTGGTTTTTTACATGATACTACAGGAGTTGTTCGCTATCCTTATCCACCGATGGCTCGTCCTCCCTTTCTCTCTCGTCCTGGAGTTACAGTTGGCATGGTTCCCCAACTGCAAAGACCTCCTTTTTTGGGACTTCGTCCACCAATGACTCTTCCAGTTGTTAGGCCTCCTGTTGTTCCAGTTGTTTTACCGCCAGAGAAACCACAAACTACTGTTTATGTTGGCAAGATAGCTCCTTCAGTAGAGAATGATTTTATTCGTTCACTCCTTGAGGTATGTAAATATCCTGAAAGGTGCATTTTTAAATTTTGTATCATATTCTCTCCTATGCTATCATGTTGTAATTTTCTTATTTCATATTTTATGTGCCATTGTTGATTTCGTGATTGTTTGTATATTCTCAGCTATGTGGACCAATAAAGAGTTGGAAGCGTGCTCAGGATCCATCAGATGGAACGCCAAGAAGATTTGGCTTCTGTGAGTTTGAATCCGCTGAAGGGGTTCTCCGAGCTCTACGACTGCTAAGTAAATGCAATGTTGACGGTGAAGAGCTGGTGGTATGTTCTATTTTGCTTGTTATTAAATCTCTTGAAGTAGGAAGCTATAAATGTTGATAATTATACAATTTCTTATGTGCTTCTATTATCCAAGATCTTGTTTACTATAGACTGGTAACGGCAATATGTTTTTCTTGAGTTTTGCTTCTGAAAGGCCTTTTTTAACTGCAATGAAGCAATTCTGTACTATTAATTCAATTGCAGGGTTGTAAGCTGCGAACTTTTTTTTTTTTTTTTTTTTTTTGGGGGGGGGGGGGGGGGGGGCGCAGAGTGACCATTACTTTTAAACAGAGGTGTAGCTAATAAGAGCATTTCACTTCTAGTTTTTCATTTTAAAGTTAATATCATTTTCAGGGAGATGGCTTTGTGTATTACAGTTTGGTTTAGTGTTACTCGATTCACCAGTATGAGATGGGGGTATTGTTACTCAATGCTTACCATTGCTAAATTGGGCTTAATGTACCCCATCCACGTATTAATTCGCCTTTTCTGGGTTGGGGTTTGCAGGGTGGGGGCTGAGGTTAGAAGATCAGGCAACTTTGAATGGTTATAAGTTGGGATACCTTTTTTTTCTTTACTTTTGGGATTTTTTTTTATTCATTTCGCCCCTTCTTGGCCTTCTTGGGAAATAGGGTTTTCTGATGAGTGAACATAGAGTCAAAGGTGGTTGAATCTGTATAGAATTAATTGTAGATTTCTAAAGGAGTATAATTTTAAAAGAGTATCTGTTCGGCATCATTGTATTTTTTTTTATTAAAAAAAGTTAGAACGTTATATGATATATTTAATAATAAAAAAAAAAGTCAAAGTTGTTAGAATCATCACTATTTTGAAATCTGACAGCGATAAAGTCCAAGCCACTTTTCGTAGTTTTCTGTGTTCACGGTTTTGACTTTTTTGTTTTTGTTTTACTATGTTCCTAGCTTTTTAGTTGACCAGAATTTTAATGTGTTTGCCATTGTACAGCTGAATGTTAATCAAGCAACAAGAGAGTATTTAGAACGTTATGTGGAGAAGAAGAAAGAGAACTTAACTAAACCTAGTGAGACTGAAGTTGAGGAAGCAAAGAAAGAGGGAGAAAGTGCACCTGATGCTGAGAAGAGTGAAACTAAAGAGAAGGAAGAACCTGCTAAAATTGCTCCAGAAGAGCCCAAAAAGGATGCAAATGAGACTGAGAACAAGGAAAATGATTTGGCCAGTTTTGGCCTTGTTACGGATGAGGATCGTGATGTTGATCGAGAGGCTTTGGATAAGCTCACTAATATGATAGAAGAACGCATAAAGACTAAACCTCTACCACCTCCTCCACCACCAGCACAGAAGGTTGCTGATGGCACAAACAACTCGAACTCCGAAGTGCCTGCTAAATCCGGGGACAAAGACTCTGATGTTAATCCTGTGAAAAATGGTAATTTGAAGAAAGCTTTTAATTGTTACTTGATGATATTATGTATGCACTTTCATAATTATGGAATCAATGTAAGTTTAGTATGATAAGTATTCTCAACTATGCTAATCTTTCTGAGGTAACTGCAGAAGATAAAATGGACGATGAGACAACAAGTGAGTCTAAACCTTCAAATAGAACTGGAACAGAGTCACCTGATAGAAGTAGAAGGTATGATAACAGAAGTCGTGACCGTAACAGACGAGACAAGGAGAGAGAGCTTGATAGATTGGAGAGAGAACGAGAACGTGAAAGAGCAAGGAGAGAGAAGGAAAGAGACTTGGAGATTCTAAAGGCTGAGAGGTTTTACAAAGAGCGTGTTAAGGAATGGGAGACTAGAGAAAAGGAGAGAGAATATGAGCGGAGGCGTGAGAGGGAGAAGGAGAAAGAAAGGGAGCGTGAACGGAGGAGGCTGGTTGCTGAGCAAGAGGATGAAAGCGATGATGATTCTAGGAAAAGGAGACGGAAGTCTGAAATTGAGGATAAGAGGAGGCGACGACGGAGGGAGAAGGAGGATGATATGGCGGACAGACTCAAAGAAGAGGAAGAAATTGTGGAGGCCAAGAAGAGAGCCGAAGAGGAGCAGCAGAGGCAACAAGAAAAACAGGCATTGGAGCTTCCTTCTGTTCCAGTTGATAATGGAAGTGAGAAACCTGCTTCACCGTTGCCTGAAGTTACTGCCAGTGAGATCAAAGATGATATGGAACAGGATCATGATTCTGAAGCGATTCCTGCCCCTGCCCCTGCCCTTGCAAGCCAGATTGGTTAGTGGTTGTACAGTATTAGTATTAATCTTTATTTATTATTATAGATCTCGGCTTCTGCTTAGCAATGCCATTCTCTTATTTCCATATGTAATTGTTATCTGGCTTCTCTTTGACAGGTGACGGGGTCATTGAAAATGGCGGTACAGATGAACCTACGATAGCACCTGGCTCAACACCAGATGTCAAGCATGCGGGCAATGTCCCAGCCAAAAAGCTTGGATTTGGTTTGGTGGGCTCAGGGAAACGAACGGCTGTGCCGTCTGTCTTCCATGAGGAAGAGGATGATGATGCACAAAAAGAAAAGAAAATGAGGCCTCTTGTACCAATTGATTACTCTACTGAAGAACTTCAAGCCATACACACAAATGATGGAGAGGCACCTCCAATTCCATCTGCTTCTGCTGAATCTGGTAAGCATATTAATCCTAGAGAAGCGAAGTCTGATGTAGAAAGGGACAGAAGTCGGCGTTCTCATGATAGGTCAAGCCATCGAGACCGTGGACATGAACGTGATGGTGACGAGGCTCCGCGAGGTCGGGAGATTTTGGATGCAAAACAATTGATTGATATGATTCCCAAGACTAAAGAAGATTTGTTCTCATATGAAATTAATTGGGTCGTGTATGATGAGGTTAGTTTTAACTTTTCTGCTGGATATTTTTTCATATAAATCTCAACTATGGGCTCTCTGTCTCTAGGCTGATATATTCATAACTAGCATGCTTTGTTCATATCTCAGAAACTGTTGTGCTTTATATTAGCATGTGTGGTTCACTGGTTCCTACTTACTCCATAAATTGCTTGTTTGTATATTTTGTATGCATTATACCTTGGCCTGTATGCTTTGCACTTAGCTTGTGTGGTTCATGCCCCATCAATAATAGGCTGTATGAGTGGAAGCTTTATGCTCTAAAAATTATATCCCCAAAAGAATACTTTCTGGTAACTTCCTTGGAAACAGCTTCCTTGTGTAGCTTTATGCCTATTATTTTCTAGTGTATATATGCCACTGGGATTCCATGTAAGGGATGCATTAGATTCTAAATGTTATCCCTCATCTCTTATTGTGTGATACTGTCCTTTGTTCCTCATATGGACCTAACAGAAATCACCCTTGCATAGTTAGATATCTTGTTTTGGTGGATTTTTCTTTTGATTATTAGCTGTAACTGAATGCTTGCTCGTAAATATTGCTAACAGTAACTCATGTACATGTTCAGAATCGGTTGCATGAAAGAATGAGACCCTGGATTTCCAAGAAGATTACAGAGTTTTTGGGAGAAGAAGAAACCACTCTGGTGGAGTTCATAGTAGAGAGATTCCGGGAACATGTTAAGGCTGAGAAAATGCTGGACGTGCTCCAGCGAATTTTGGATGAGGAAGCCGAAATGTTTGTCCTCAAGATGTGGAGGATGCTAATCTTTGAAATAAAAAAGGTGGAGACAGGTTTGACAACAAGGCCAGGAGCGTGAAGCATTTTGGATCTTCTTGTTTCCTGCTGGCAATTTTTTCCCTTTGATAATTTTTCCATAGTAAAAGAAAATTGTAGGCAAATATGATGTTGAAGCTCCATTGTTATTGTATGTCTTCTATTTTTCTTTTTCATAGTTCACAACTTAAACTAGTTAAATGAAATCTAGTTTTATTATTGTTTTTTGTCTTCAAAAATGTATTATGAACTGTATATGCAAGAAAGAAAGTTTTCTTCTATGTACATCGTTTCAAACATCTCTTGTACTTTGAGCTAAGCAATACTGGAGTTTCCTTCATTGTTTCATAATTCATATATACGCTGTACTGTTTGTAAACACATTTATCAAAATATTTGGGTAGGGTTTTTAAACATGACTTAAATCTAATGGAAATTTCACCAAATGTCCCTGAGTTATTTTTTTATTAATCAAATATCCATCAAAACTTTCAAATTTACCAGATGCCCCCGAGTTTAACAAATATATTACAAAATGCCCAAATGACTAACGGATGTTAACTCTGTTAGTCATTAAGGCTAAATTTGCCACGTGGCAACCTATGGTTGGTTACCATTTATATTATTTAAAATTTTAATTATAAAAAAAGATTCAAAAATAAACTCAAAAAATAACCCACCCACCACAACCACACAACCCAGCCCCAACCACCATCGGTCAGGCCGCTATTTCTGATATTTCCCTCACACCGGCTCCATCCCAAACCCAACGCATCAGCCGGCACTCGGCGCAAATCACCGCCACCCCGAACCCGTCACCGCCAATGAACCACCACTCCACAACCCTTAAACCCCTCATCTCTCTCTCTCAAAAACCCCTCCCCTCCCCACCGCCGGTGTCGAAATTCCCATCCCCATGCTGGAAAACCCAAACCACACCTCCCCCCCAGTCGTATCCACCTCCTAAACCACCACGCCGAACCCCAAAATAAAAAAAAAACCCAAAATCGAAACCCTAGGTTTTCGATTTTGGGGTTTTAGGATTATGGGGTGGTGGATGTTGGCTATGGTGAGCGACGGCGAGCCGGCGACGTAGGAGGTGGAACTTGGCGCCAACGAAGGTTTTCGGCTCAGGTAGTTTATGGGGCCGGGAAAAGTGGGTAGGCCGGGGTTTTTTCGAGTGTAGGCTGGGGTGTTGGGGTGGGGGTAAGGTGGTTCTAGGAAGGATAGGGGCGGCGAAGACATGAGATAAGGGGTGAATGGGTGGCTTCGGTGCTGGTGCCGTCAGTGGGGGTAGTGGGTGGGGGTGGGGTGGGGGTGGGGGCAAGGGGATGGGCTATCGTGAGGGTGGTGGTGCGATAGGGAGAGTGGCTGGGTTTGAGATTTTTTTTTATTTTTTTAACTTTTTTTGTTAAATATAATAATTATAAAAATGAACCAATTAGAAGTCGCCACGTGACATAATTAGCCTTAATGACTAACGGACTTAACTGCCATTATTTATTACGGGCGTTTTGTTTGTGAAACTCAAGTGTATATGGTGAATTTGAAAATTCTTATGGGTATATGGTGAATAAAAAAATAACTCTGGAACATTTGGTGAAATTTTTGTAAATTTAAAATAGATCTAACCTCACCAAACCTGACTTAGACAATCAAATTGACACCTTTATTTATGAGTAGGATATTCTGCTTATTTTAATTACATTTTATACCAAAAATTATACCAAGTATTATAAAATTGGAAACTATATATTATTCACATTTTCAATTGTATTCTTATTGAAATTACTCCCTTCATCACTTCTCTATGGGTATAAAGTAAAAGACTATGATAGTATGTACAATGAGAATATTTTATTTAAAAGTAGGTAAATATTTTGGTAAATGAAAATACTGTAGTTGTTTTGAAATATGTTAATATGCTGGTAAATAAGAATAATTGCAATGAATAAAATACTAATTAAATGTTGTAAGAAACTATCTTTTGTCGGATTATTGCATTGAATAAGGGACGTTTAATGACTCATTTTCTATTATTTTTTCTGGTTATCCCACTCAATTTCTCCATAATCCCCATGCATATAACCCCTAATTCTCTTTCTCTTTCATTGTTAAATCAAGCACATACATGGTAGCAACTTACAACATTTAGTTTTTATAAGTTAGTTTGTTACAACAATTATATATATATATATATATATATATATATATATATATATATATATATATATATATATATATATGTAAAAGGTAGTTTTTCACATAATGAAGATAAGGTAGTTTTTCAAAAAAAAAAAAAAAAAAAAAACTTGAATTTTATTAATTAAAAGTCACATGACACCTATAAAATCTATAGTAACATATAAACTAAAAAGGGGTTTTGGGTGATAAATTTTTCTTTTCCAAAATACCCCTCTCATCTTTTATTTTCTTTTTAAAGAAACTACCAACTACAATATTATCTTTTTTTAAGGAAGTTATATTCTTCTAATGCATTTCATCAATTTTTAAACTTATTAATATTTTTTTAATTATAATTTTTAATTCGAATAAGGTAGATAATATTTCAGGAAAATTTCTTGTTTCTCATATTGAGAAACGAATTTTGTTTCTCATGGAGGCATTTTCGTGAATAAAAATCAACAACTTTTTCATTATTGTGGGCTCCACAATCGAATAAAATTGTTAATTTATTTACAAAAATGCCATGTGAGAAACAAATTTTGTTGAAACTAAGAAAGAGAGAATTGAGCCATATAGATTTCTTATAATACACACACAATGTGCGTGTGTTTCATAACTTTAAAGGAACAACATATTCGTTTGAGTAGCTACGTACTGTTTTTTTTTAATTATTTTATTTTCTTATTATTCAGGTAAAAAAAACTACCTTATTAATCCGAAATATCCCAACGCCGATGATAGTCAATGACCAACGCCGCAAGATCAAGTCAAGATGGTTACAAGTGCTCCCTAAAATCAAGGAGGTTTAATGGATCAATAAGAATAAGCCTTCAAAGTTATTACGATGTATGTACTCCCTAAAGCAGTCCAAGTTCGTCAAAGGACCTAGTAAAAGATATAACCACAGCTTCCCAATCAAGGAGTCATGATCATATCTTTCTCCAACCACTTGCTTGAAGCTCTATTAATAGAAACACTTTCTCTCGCAAATACCAGATCATTCCTACAATCCTACATATAATACTTTCATTATGCAATCCATTTCTCCATAATTTACCCCACTTATCTACGATTAACCTCAAATACTTATACTTTAGTCATCCTTAGCCTTCCTCAGTCCTCACAATGCCATAAATCAACCGTGGCCATTATGATGAACAAAACAAGTTATTAACCTTCCGCCACATAGATACTCCACAATCAATGGCGGATGTAGAATATTTATTGTGAAAGGGCGGTAAATAAATATAAAAAAAATAAAAAAAATAATTAAAAAAAAAACTTGTATGAAGGCTTTAACCTAAGACTTTTTACATGAACTCAATGCATTACCATTATGATAGGAGCTAAATTAATATAATTTATTACGTTAAAAATTGTACTTAACTTATAAATTTGTACCTTTACCTAAATAAATAAAATTATTTTTGAGAGGGCCACGCCACCTAAGACCCTTAATTGGTCCGCCCCTGTCCACAATGTATAATAAACTTAGCATCTAGACCTTCCACCACCAAAAGAAACAAAGCTACTATATTCTAATCCTCAAGGCACAACTACAAGCATAAGCTAGCTTCTACATATGCTACGTCAATTACCCTCTTGCCGTACTATTAAAGCCGTGTGTTTTGGATATTTATATTTATATTTATCTACATCATACTTTGTACACATCAAATGCTTTGTAATTGTAATTATTAGCTTTATGTCCGTATTATAGTGGATTGGTGACCTCATCACCACCTGCGGTTTTTACCCACCTTTATTGGAGTTTTTCGCGTCACTATATCGTGTCTCCCCTCTCTTTCTTTATTTTTCCGTCATTTACTTTCTGCATCCCACATTCCTTATTTTAATTTAGATGATCCGTAACTCGTATCCCACATCAAATCCTAGTTGACGAAATTTAGCATAAACAGTTACTATTTAGTATGAATAGTATCCCTCGAGGAATGCATGCATTACATTATTGTTAGGTTTTAGTATGAATAGTATCCCCGCCTCCAGGAACGCATACAGGGTTGAATTAGATTATAGTGACATTATTGTTACTTTTTAGTACGAATAGTATCCCTCGAGGAAAGCATGCAGATTAGATGTTTATTTTATTAATCCGTTAACCATTATTTGCAACAAAGGGGGTTTGTATGGACTCCTAGGAAAAAAAATTTAAATCATCATTATTGAAAAATAAGGGTATGTGGTTAAATATTAAAAAAAAAAAAAAAAAAAAAAAAAAAAACAAAACCCAGGCCATAACCACCGAAACCCGAAACCACCACCAAAACCACCGGGAACCACCAAACCCACTCAAACCCATGACCCAAAACCACCACCAAAACCATCGACACCCAACCACGAACCCAACCAAAATCACCATGAACCGAAACCCAACTAACCACCACGAACCAAAACCCAAAACCACCACGAAACAAAACCACCTAAGAACCTCCGAAATCCTTCGACCACCACCAAAAACCATTGAAAGTTCGAAACCATTCGACGAACCACCAAGAACGACGATCCACAAACCAATTACTGAATCACCCACCCACGAACAACCTGCAAATTCACCAACAAGCCACCAATCGAACCACAAATCAAGCAAACCACCCACAAATAACCATGAAACCCACAAATAAGGATGGATTGGAATTTTTAAAGAGATTAAAGATGAAGAAGATGAATTGAGAGATGAAGGAGGAGAGAGAAAAATAATGGGGAAATGATGAATTGAGATTAATCTGATTTTTAGGGTGGGAAGGGTTGAATAATTAACTAGATTAAGGTTATAATGTTTTGTAATTAAGTATAGTATTATGTTCTAATAATTTTTAAGTGAGGGTATTTTGGTCATTTTGACAGAAAAATGTTACTAAAATAGAAAAGAAATAAGTTTGTTGCTAGCACTCTTTTTTGATAAATGTTGTAAATAACTGTTAACGAAGGTAGTATTATAAATAGAATGGGTTGCCACGAAGTAACATATTAGCAGCAGAATCACTATTTCACCCAAAAAATAAACACACTTACCCAAAGTATTTTAATTTGTTCAAGTTTAAGTAATAAGTGCAACAAATGGAAAAGGTCTCAATTAACTTTCTGGTTGCTCCTGTTCTATTAGCAATGTTGTTCATGCTCAGTACCTCAACAGGTTCGTATTTCAAAGTTCAAACCATTCATATGAAAAATTTGAAAGCCTTATCTAAATTACACTTTTTTTTTTTTTTGAAAGATAAATAATACTTTGTTTCTTTTATTTGTGTTTTTTTTTCTTTATATGAGAATTAAGACAGTACAATTATTTAAGGACGTGTCTAAAATATAAAAACAAAAGTTTTGAATAAAAAATCTTTATTTTACACCGTAATTTATAGTTGAAGTTTTAAGGTATTCCATACATTTTTCATACTTATAACTTGTCAAGATATAAGGCATGGGGAAGACCCTGTAATAGGGTACTCTCTCTTTCATTTTAGGGTATGTTCACATTAGCTAAACTGAGCTGAAAGAATTAAACTAAGGTGAACCAAACTCAACTAATTGGAGCTGAATTGATCTAAACTGATTGGAGCTGAACTGAATTAAATTGAATATAGCTAAAATGAATATTTAATGAGAGAAAGAAATTAGGAGCTGAACCGAACTGATTGGAGCTGCACTGAACTGAACTGAAATTAAGCTGAAGTGAACATACCCTAGCTGGCATGTTCTAACTTTTGCTACTACTTACGTATTAAATTACTTTGACTCAATTTGGCGATTTATTCTTAAGTCAAAATAGTCCGATGGAATCTTGTTTGATTTGTTTTATAGCCTATTTTTTTATACATCGTGTATCAAAATTTTTTATTTTTTGTTGTACATAATTGAAGATACTACTTGATTTTTTTATACTTCGTAGTATTATATTTGAAGTTTTGGAAATCACACCTAAATAATGTACTACATGTAGAGGTGGCCAGTGGGCCGGGTTGGACCCAGCCCACCCTAACTCGCACGGCTGGTGGGTCACGTGGGTCCGACCCGGTTTCAATCCGGCACAGCCCGGCACAGCTCGGATTTAATCCGGGTTGTGTCGTGGGTCCAAAATTTTCGACACAACCCATTTCAACCCAGCTCAGTTTAACCCGTTTGATTCGACCCAAATCGCACAACCCGTTTTGACTCATTTAATTCGACACACCTAGCCCGTGAACCCACCTAACCCGACCCACCTGGCACAACCCAGCCCGCACGGCCCACCCGCACGAATGACCCACCCAACCCGCACGAGCCAACCCACCTAACCCGCACGCATGACCCACCCAACCCGCACGCATGACCCACCCAACCCGCACGGCCGGCACAACCCGCACGGCCCGCACAACCCGCACGGCCCGCACAGCCCGCACAATTCGCACGACCCGCACGGCCCGCACGGCCTAACATCCATTTAAAAAAAAAACGGCTAGTTTTTTGTATCTAACGGCTAGTTTTTTGTATCTAACGGCTAGTTTTTTAAGTGTATGATCATCCATTCTATTTTTCCTATAAATACCAATTCCATTTCACTCAAATTTCCACACAAATTCAAGCTTTCTTTCTCTCTTACTTAAAAATTCTTATTGTTCTCAAATTCTCAAGTGTTATATAGAGTTATATTTTTGTTAAAAAAAATCTCCTTAATATTATTATTAGTATTCTTAAGATTCTAAAAAAAAAAAGTTCTTCTCCATATTATAATTAGTAATCATACAAAAAAAAAAATGAGCTCAAGAGGAGGAATGGGAAGGAGTCAAAGTGGTGGTCGAAGTGGTAGCCAAAGGAGTGGTGGTGCAAATTTTTCGTATGAAATTAATACGGAAAATTTAAACCAATTTGTCAATGAATATGGAGATTATGGTTTAGGAGATAGGCAAAATATTCAAACGTCTCCACCACAACATTTCTCCCACGAGTCCCACCAATCATCAAGTTCAACTATGCCACCTCCATCGCAACCAACATCTCAACCTTCATCTCAAGGTAATTTCTAATTAAATTTTTATTGTTATGAATATTTAAAAAAACTATTATTAATGATTATAAAGTTAGTTTAGTTTCCAATTTTCTATGATTTACAATTAGTTAATTACCATGAAAAATGCGTTTAAATAAGTATAATTAAAATATTTAAAATTTAAAAGCTTATTTTCATGAATAGCATTTAAAAATTAATTTTAATAATTTGATTTATGAAAGGTGGTGGCGGTGAAAGTAGAGGTCGAGCACATTTTTCTTGGGTGTGGAAACATTTTGAACGAGTTGAGGTCACACCCCCGGGATGGCAACCTGGTCAACCAAAGAGGTTCACGTGTACATGCCTAGTTTGCAAGGCGCTAGGTGCAAATGTCAAGTCATATAATTGGAAAACGGGAGATGGAACCGGAACCTTGAGTCGGCATTTGCAAAATAAACACGACTTGTTCGAAAATGGCCCCCGTCCTTCGGGGGGTGGCGTCCAAACACAATTGGGTGGATACATGAACCAACCCGGCGGAGGTACACCTTTCATTTATAATAAAGATAGAATGATTGATGAAATGAGTACTTTAGTTATTGCTAATGAATACCCTTTTAGTTACGGTGAAAATGCAAACGTTGAGCATTTTAATAAAGTTGCATTACAACCTGCATTTACTCGTGTCCCCCGAAATACCCTAAGACGTTATACACAAACTTCTTATTATAAGTATAGGAGTGGTTTGATTGAATTATTTCGTACTTTTGATGGTCGTGTTAGTTTTACAAGTGATACATGGACTTCTAGTTTTGGCGAACCTTTTCTTTGCATTACTGCTCATTGGGTGGATGATGATTGGTTTATTCAAAAACGTATACTATGTTTTCAAGCTATGGAAGAAAGGCATACCGGTTTTAACATCAAAGTTCGTATTTTGGATTGTTTAAAAGAATTTCACTTGAATAATAAAGTTTTTTCTTTGTCTCTTGATAATGCAACTGCAAACACAAAGTGTATTGACTATTTGAAAAATGACTCCGAGTTGAATTTGTTGTTGGGTGGTAGTCTCTTGCATGTTAGATGTTGTGCTCATATTTTGAATTTGTCTGTTCAAGAGGGTCTCGCTGAGTTGCAACCATTGCTAAACCCAATTAGAACAGTTATAAAATGGATTCGGATTACTCAGTCAGTTAGAAGAAAGTACATAGCTATGTGTAAAGAGAGAGGTCTTAAGAAAAGACAATAGTCTATTGATACCCCTACCCGTTGGAATTCTACTTTCAAGTTGTTGAGTGATGCTATAAAGTATCGTGATATTTTGACCCAACTTTACAATGAGACTCGTGTTGATCCTACTGAGTTAATAACCGAAAGTCATTGGACTAATGCTTCTTTTGTTCGTGATGTTTTAAATGCTTTTGATAGTGCAACTCATATTTTCTCTTATATTTATGAGCCTAACGTTCATTTAGTCATAATTGAGTGTGTTAAAGTTGTTCACACCATCGAAGAGCATATGAAGATTGATGGACTTCGTCCCGTTCTTGATAGCATGAAACGTAAGTGGCATACTTATTTTAGTGAATTTCCAATCATTTATGGAATTGCTGCTATTCTTGACCCCGGTGTCAAAGCTGAAGGTTTGGAAAATCTTTTAGAATTTTATTATACAAGTTTAAGTATCGATTATGATGTTAGTGAATATATTAACAAATGCAAATCTGTTTTGGGAGACCTTTATGATCATTATGCATCTATTTATGGTTTTGATTTGGCAACACCAACTACTACTAGCACTTCCGATTCTAGATTTGGTTTTCTTGATAAAGTTATGAAAAAAAAACACAAAACATCTACATCATTCTCATCATCATCTTCTTCAACACTTGCTATTAATGATTATTTGTCATATCAACATGAGACCAACAACAACTTTCAAATTATAAAATGGTGGCAAGAACATAAAAAAAGTTTTCCTATATTGGCGAGAATTGCAAAAGATATACTTGCAGTTCCCGCTTCATCTGTTGCTTCCGAGTCTGCTTTTAGTGCAGGTAGAAGAGTGTTAGATGAAAAAAGATCTCGCTTAACTCCGGAAAGCATTCAAATTTGTGTTTGTAAGAAAGATTGGGATCAAGCTGAAAGAAGAACTCAAGGTTTAAAGGAAGACGAAGACGATGAAGATGATCCTGTGATGATATTGGAGTCGTCAACGGATGATGCAGCTTCCGGGGATGATGATGCAACAAACATGGGTGGCTAGAAAAGTCTAAATCAGGTACGCTAAGAACTACGTGGGCTTTGATTCTTTCGGGATACGTAGGCAACTTATTTTTCGAAAATTACAATTTAATTGCAAAATTAAATTTTAGTTTTCTAAAGATAGGTCCAAGCCCCCCCCCCCCAAATTTCAAAAGAAGTACAATATAAGAACTACGCTGGCTTTGATTCCTTATTTTATAATATAAGGATACGTAGGCATCTTAATTAAGAGCAAGCCATCAAATTGTTAATTTTGTAAAAATTAAAACACCACACAACCCACCCGACCCTAACCCACGAACCCACCCGACCCTAACCCACAAACCCACCCGACCCTAACCCACCTAACCCACAAACCCACCCGACCCTAACCCACAAACCCACCCGACCCTAACCCACCTAACCCACAAACCCACCCGACCCTAACCCACTAACCCACCCTTCGACCCACCCTAACTCACTAACCCACCTTGACCCGTCTAACCCACGAACCTAGCTCGACCCACCCATGACCCGTCTAACCCACAAACCCAGCTCGACCCACCCACGATCCGTCTAACCCACAAACCCAGCTCGACCCACCCACGACTCGTCTAACCCACGAACCTAACCCTGGTGTGTCCAACTTCTCCGAACCAACCCACGACCCGGCCCACCCTACCCTACGTGTGTCGTGCCGTGTGTCATGAAACCCCAACCCGCGACCCACCTAACCCTAACCCAGCTCGCACGACTCGCACGGTGGACACCTCTAACTACATGATACATATTTCCTTTTTTTTTTTTTTTCTTTTTCTTTTTCTACTTTCAGCTATGGCCATTGAAACGATGCCAAAAATGCCAGTGATGGTAATAGAAGAAGAAGTGGTGATGGTCCAACCACCAAAAACTGATGATGAAAATGGAAACCATGAAACAAATATGATGATTATGCGGTCGCATAATCGTGGTTTGGACGCCCAAAATATTAAGCAAGAAGTCGCAACAAATGATAGCGGGGAAGTTTTGAAGTGCGCAGATGACTATCAGTATTGTAACAGTATCTTTGGACCTTTTTGTTGTAATGATACCTTTAAATGTGCTGCGATACCTTTAGCTGGTGGATTGTGTGTGAATCGTGATATTATCCCTCCGTCTCTATTTACTTGACCTATAGCCCTTTGGCACGCAATTTAAGAAAGAGATTAAAGTCGGGTTAAATATATTATAAATAACTTAACCCAACTGCATGCTTAGGTTAAAGGGCTAGCTACTTTGATCCCAATCCGGCCTCTAGCCCTCTAAATGTCCTAGATAGGTATGAGACTTTTCACTCTAAGGATGTAATGTAATAGCTAGTGTGTACTTGGCTAATCATGCTCATGTTTATTCATAATGCTTTCCTATATGCATGAATTATGACAAAGCAAAATAATTATGTATGTGATTTTAAGTTTTTCTTAAATAAAATGTTGATTGATCTTAATCTCCTTCCTATTTTAAACAATGATAAGATTGATAACAGTAATAAAATTAAGTGGCCTCCCCAACAATGACTCTAAAATTTGATAGGTTGTCACACCTGTCAAAGATAAATTTCTAACAAAACCTCCTGGCTATGTAATAGCTAAATAGGACCGAATCTATAGAGAGATGACAATTATTTAATCTAACTTCTAAAGATTGAAGAAACTAAACAATATCACGAAATTGAGATTGAAAGGTAGTTTAAACTAAAATAAGAATGCAATTAATAAAAAGATCTAGGGTTATGGTTCACCATACATGCTTAATTCAGAATCAATCATTAAACCATCAACAATTCAATTAATCAATTATTTGGAGCAATTACCAAGCCTACGGTCTGGTTTTAACGCTCTTAATTCGATCAACATATGCAGTATGATCACTAAGCTAACGTAATAAGAATTGCTAATTGTAGGTAAGCCTTTTAAAGTATGATCTTTCGATTCAAACTCTAATTAATAATAATTAATCAAACAATTGATCATATTGCAAGATTAACAATAAATCACTATCAATTAGAGAAATTAATAATAAAAATGTTAATAATATCAATCAAGATTTATCATATAAACACGGGTTCCCAAACCTTAGAAATAAACTACTCAAGCATAAAATAAATAATTGAAATTAAACCTAATAATTCAATTTAAAGAAAACATAATTAAAAGAGAGAAATTAAATATCTGAATGAATAAAATCAATAAACTCAAGAACAATCCATATGGAGAATCCATTGAGTTGCCCATGAGAAACTAGGGATAAGCTAAGAGAACCAAAAAGCGAACAAATAAAAATAATGAAAAGCATGAACGACACAAGAATAATAATCCCTTGGAACATTTATTATATCCTAAATTCTAATCTAAATTCTAATCTAATCCCTTGGAACATTTATTATAATAATCTTCGTATTATTTAGGTAATTGTATTGAAATAGTACATGAACAATACTGCAGGAAATAAAGTTTTATTTAATTATACTAGCTGGTAAGCTAGTAATTAAGATTTAAGATTGCAGCATGATCAATTAGATTAGATTAGATCAGATGAGATCAACCCCAAAGTACATTGACTTCAATGGAGCCATACTTTCCGGTAATGGTCTTCTTATCACTTTCACCAGAAGCCTTGACTAGAAAGACGGCTTTGCCATTTGCAATTTCATCGTCGGGAGAAACAGAATCATAGTCCATCAAGTAAGCTTCAATCTCCATTTCCCTGGCTTCTTCAGGCACATTGACATCGGACCTACTCAAGGGAATGAATTCACCAGGCCTTACTTCAATACGCTGACTTTGCTGCTTATTAAAAAGTGAAAATTGACTGCCAATTCCAAATCGGCCATTTATATTTCCGTAAACGTCTGCAGGGTCTTCTCCATCTCCATTGATCAGCTTAACACTCAACGTAGCTTGGACATTGTTGCTAAACATCACCTTCACAGCTGCATATTCTTGAATGTTGGCCATCTTTTCAGATATATTCTCCTACAAATTAAGCCACAATAAATCACCATGCATATAAAGAAAAATGATGATAGAGTATTTTAAAATGAAAATTTTACAATAGTCGTTTGAAATATGATTACCATAGTGTTTTATTGGTGATGTAGTTCATAATTGACATTTTATTTCCAATTAATTAATTATATTACTTCATTTTTGGTATAAAATAACAATTTATTAATTTACCAAGTATATCAATTAAAATGATGATAAAGTATTTTAACGTTACATATATATGTTAGTGACAAATGGATGAATTGAAGAACAAAGCTTAACTAAGATTATAGGCATTTACCCTAGAAGAAGTATCACCCTCTTGTATATATTTAATCTGTGTGACTTGCAAATTACAATGCCATACTGCCCACCATTATATAGTAGGAGATCGAAGATCTAAAAAAGGAAATATTCGATTGTTTATTTTTTTATATAGTTGTGGGACTCTTCTATAAATAATTCTTTTGCGATAAAATGGAGCCTATCATTATTCCACCCATAGTCCCACCAATCGTAGCTCTGACGAAGGAAAACCTAATTTGATTCAATTTTATGTATTTGTTAATTTAGATTTCATTTGTAGATGGCGGATGACTTTTTATTAATGAATTGATTTGTTTACAGATAGAAGTTTCATATTTAAGTTCTTAAGCACACTCACGCAGGGGCTTAAAGTACTTGAGCTATTAATAAAGGGGTTGACAACTAAATTCCAGAGCACATCATGCCCACCATGCACCTTGGTGCGTCAGAAGATGCGCTTGAGGCACCTGGTTTATTGGAAGACACTAAACATTTTGCACCCTTGTCTTTTGAATAAACTCCCTGTAAACATTTGAAATAGTCAAGTATTTATCTTTAATTTTTTGCACATCAGTTTTGCTAGTCATAGCAGTTTTAGAGTCAGAACATATGTTCACATCGTCCTTTTAATAATACTTAAACCAAGCAACGACATTACGACAATCAAAACAATCAAGAATTCAGCAAAGTTAGCATCCTCAACCTTGATTTTTTAAGGGAAACCCCTTTCTACTCCTTAAAATAAATGTATCATATGCCTCCAATACACACATCAAAGGTGTGTTGATAGAAGGAAGCATCTACTAGGATAAAGAACTAAGAGGTAATGCATGCGGGGGTGGATAAGTTTCACACAGGGGTCAGAACAAGCAAGACAAGGTTGAGTGTAGAAGTATATCACATAACTTCCTAAAAAAGAGGATATCATCTACAAATAGGAGGTAAGAGATAGGTTAGTTAATTTCTTGCATGTTAGAGAATTAAAGAAGGTTATCTTGTTAAAAGCCTATAAAAGTCAAGCTTGGTTAGAATTTGTGGTCTTGACTCTTGAGGCCTCCTTTTCCTACCCAGCAAAAGTTAAGAGGAATTAACGTAGGCTTATATCCCGCCTATAGTTGCTAGCTAGTTTTGTGTTATGCATATGCTATGTTAGATTGTGCTTGTTGTTGTAATTAGATTGTGCCTATTCGATTTGAACTGAGAAATTCATGACTCAAACCCCACCTGTAACCGACCTAGTTTAACCTGAGAAATTCATGATTCAAACCAGATCTATAACGCCCTAAACTAATCCAAATTTCACCTGATATAAAAATAATGTGGCACCGATTTGACCCGACCTAAACTTAACCCAACTTGAACTCAAAATGAACTGGTTTAACCTAACCTGACTCAACCTAACCTGAAATTCACCCAAAAAAATACTCGATTCAATCTAATTTGTTTTGATCTAAAATGATTTTAATTTAACATGATCTCAAACAAACATAATTCTCAACCCAACTTATTATTTTGGTTTTCCTATTTTTTTTTTTCTTAAACATAATTACTTCAATTCATGAAATTGTTTGTTTCATTAATCGTTATAAACTTCATTTTGAAATGGTGCGTGGGCTGAGAGCCTGAGAGTAGTGAGTATACGATTTTTAATTTGAAATGCAAGTACATAAAATATATGAAGTTTATTAATTCAATTTAACTAATTTGATGTTTTAATATACTCAAGGTCAATTTAATCAATATGTGGCTATCATATATGTTCATTATTTACCGTAGTCATATCACTATGTACGTATGATATAAGTCATTGATAATTCAATTTTAATTTGACTTGAAGATAAATGACTTAAGAATTGATCTAATGATCGATGAGAAAACTAATGAATAATTTGTAAGTGTTAATGACACATGTGACATGTTAATGACTCAATAATAAAGTAAAACTGAATAATTAATCTAGTTTAATAATGATCTAATTTGAATATTGAATTTGATCAACCTGAACCAAATTCAGTGAAACTTGAATAGGATTTGAATTGGAATTGACACAGTACAATACTGAATCAACCATATCCTAATTTCAACTTAACCGAATTTAATCGAACCGAATCTAACCGAACCAAAATTAACTTGACCCAAAGTCATATGACTTTAAATTAACCCAATCAAACCCGTTTTGAGCCCAATATGAATTTATGCGAACTTATTATGAACCTATCAAGAGTTGACTTGACCCAGACAACGAAGCACGGACACTCGTAAGTTCAGGCGTGTCCGAGTCGACATGCGTGTCGGACACGGACACGCGTGGGACACGGGGCAAAACGTCTCGGACACTCCAAAAACCGTGTTCGGTTTATTTTTGACGTTTTTGATTTTTGGACACGGGCCGTGTCACCCTTAGACACGGGCCGTTTTGGTATGACACGGGAAATAACCTAAAGTCTTGCTCTCTGCTTTGCCTCTCTGCCTCCCTGCCTATTTCCACTTCTCAATTTCTCATCTTCCTCTCTGCCTCACGCGAAATCAGTCATCACCATTGTCATCACTCAGTCACTGTCGTCGTTGCTCCACCCACCACCCACCACTCCACCGTTCGCATCAACACAGTCAGCTGTCGTCGTTGCTCCACTGTCGTCGTTGCTCCACTGTCGTCGTTGCTCCACGCTTGGTGTCACTCAGTCACTGTTGTCGCTGCCTCTGCCTCATTCAATTGCCGCTGTTCGTCCTCAGCCACCACCCACCACTCCACCGTTCTCATTGTCGTTGCTGACTTGCTGTACATTGACTTCAATGGAGCCATACTTTCCGGTAATGGTCTTCTTATCACTTTCACCAGAAGCCTTGACTAGAAAGACGGCTTTGCCATTTGCAATTTCATCGTCGGGAGAAACAGAATCATAGTCCATCAAGTAAGCTTCAATCTCCATTTCCCTGGCTTCTTCAGGCACATTGACATCGGACCTACTCAAGGGAATGAATTCACCAGGCCTTACTTCAATACGCTGACTTTGCTGCTTATTAAAAAGTGAAAATTGACTGCCAATTCCAAATCGGCCATTTATATTTCCGTAAACGTCTGCAGGGTCTTCTCCATCTCCATTGATCAGCTTAACACTCAACGTAGCTTGGACATTGTTGCTAAACA